CTTCCATTTTTTTCAATAAAGTTCAAAAATCAGTGTATGTAGCATCATAAATAATGGAGAAAACCTTGTCTCTGGTACCATTCCCAATTGCCTCAAAGAAATTTATAATCCTCCTTTCTACTATATAAGTTGTCCTTGTAAGAAAAAGTGTCAATTTTATTTTACAGATGAAAATATAAGTACATCCCAGAGAGTCCAAGACTCTTGAGGGCCACATGCACAAGTGCTGGTTTTCCTGGTATAGGAGCCTGGTCCTCTAGACATCAGGATGCTGGCTTCCACGAATGGCAAAATAATACAGAGGGTGCAATATTTTCATGAAGTAGTCCGAAATGTCATTCTTAGGTGACCTATTTTCACTTTTATTTCATAATAATCTTTCCCAACGGTGTACACTATTCATTTAGAAAGCCTTCTTTGTAATATTGTGAAAATGACTGAAAGTACTTCCACTATAACACTTTATATTTTGTTTGGTAAAAATTTTTTAAGAAAGTGGGGGGGGGGGTGGTTTTGGCTTGAAATTTTCCATGCTTTATCTCAGCCTATGTAGGGTATCAGAAAAATAAAGAAATCCCACTCAGCTATTTTTCTGATACTATGAATGGGTATGAAAAGGACAGACAGTAGCAGACATTGAGGGAGTGACTTGCTGTTGATGAGGAGGAGAATAATGGTTTAGTGCTATACGTGGATAGCTTTTCATTATCCTTCACATACTCTCACACATATTATAGACCAAGAGAAGACATTAGAGGTTTAAGGCTGTGCTATATCAATGAGACACTTGAGAGTTGGTTTCAAATTTCTTTTAGAAACAGAAAAATAACTTACCAATTTTATATTCCTAACAACTCATAATGACATAGATTTATACATAGGTATATGCACATATATATGTATGTATATGATGTAAATATGTATATATATATATTTGTGTGTGTGTGTGTGTGTGTGTGTGTGTATATATATATATATATATATATATATATATATATATAGAATGTACCTACTGATAGACATATTAGATATATCAGTCAGAATAACTAAGGACAGTGAAAGTGAATTAGCTAGGAAAAGTGATATTTAAGAGAGCAATAGTTTAAAAATTATACTTCTTAAACTTCACCCAAGACTTGCACCACTTTATTTGTCCATTTATTCAACCATTAACACATATTCTTTGAGTCCTCATTATGTGTCAGGCACTGTCCTAGACACTAAAGAGACAGTAATGAATAAGCTGGTGCAGTCTTTTGCCTTTCTAAGCTTGTTCTAGCAGAGGAAAGTGATTTTAAACAACCAAATTTATACTATGTCATGTGGCGATAGGTGCTGTTAAGTAAAGCAAAATAAAAGAATAGAGAATAATAGGAAGGCGTTTTAATTTTAGAAAAGGTGGTCAAACAAGGCCTCTCTGGTAAGCTGACATTTTCTCATGAATTAAATGGGTGAGCCAGCCACATGAATATTTGTAGGAAAAATATTCCAGGCATAGGCCTATATGTGCAAAAGCCCTGAGGAAAGTGAGTTCTTGGTATATTCACAGAAAAGCTGGAACAGAATAAATAAGGTCAATGAAAGGATCAGAGTTTGATAATGGTGAGGACTTTAGACTTTATCTCTAGTGAGATGAGAAGCCATGGGGTGGGGTTGAGGAAAGAAGTAACAAGCTGTGACATATTTTTAAAGGACATGGAAAATAAACTATTGGGGGATATTTTAGCATACAGCATAAAAGTCAAATACCAATGACTTAAACACATGAAGGCTTGTTTTTCTATCACAAAAAGTAACTTCAAAGGCGAGCAGTCCCAGTTGCCATGACACTATGGAACTCCAAAGTCATCAGGACCTGGGTTTTTTCATTCTTCTACTTCCCCACTCTTTTTTGTTTGTTTGTTTGTTTGTTGTGGGTTTTTTTTGTTAATCCTCACCCAAGGATATTTTTCCATTGATTTTTTTAGAGAGAGCGAAAGAGAGGGGCAGAATCGGAGAGAGAGTAACATCAATGTGAGACCACATGAGGAATCAAGCCTGCAACTGAGATATGTACCGTTGACCTGAATTGAACCTGGGACACTTAAGTCTGCAGGCCGATGCTCTATCCACTGAGAAAAACTGGGTAGGACTACTTCCCCATTTGTTAACAAGTCACCTCATAGACAGAGATGACAGCTGAAAATGGAGCCATGACAATAACATTCCAGGAAGCATGGAAGAGGAAGAAGGACAAATAGAACATGCCTCCTATTGTGTCAGTTCTATTCTAGGAAACTTCCCAGATGTCCTGTACCACACTACCCCTTGTATCTCATTGGCCAACTCTCAACCACAAAGGAGGCCAGGAATAGATAGCATTTGAGCAAGTTCATTGCTTTCCCAAATAAAAACTGGGGCTCTGCTACCAAGGAAGACAAAGAATCAGAAACATGGGAATCAATTAAGAGGTCATTTGAAATGATCCTGGCTCAAAATTATGTTGATTAAGACTAAGTTCGTACCAATTGAAGTACTGATTTATGCAACACATATTAAAGATTCAGGGATATGAGAAGAAGGAAGTCTAGGACACCTCCAACAGTTCTGGACTGAATCATTAGACAAGTACAATTCCAATAGGTGAGATGGGAAAGTGTATGTTGATATTTACATGATCAAAACTGGTCTCAGACACAAATGATATGCTCTTCACAATCTCTCCACCATCCAACTCTAATCTTACATCCCTGACACTCTCATTACTCTGGAATATATTCTGTGTTACTGCCTGCATCACATATTTTACAACTAGAAATTTTACCCTTTTCTATTTTCTCCTTAATTAGTTTTTCTTTAGTGACAATACACACTCCTAATATTAACTATTATTCTTCATTGTTTTCTCTATCGTATACAGATGTCATAGGCCACTTAACAAGCATTCACAAGTCATCTGTTGAATTGAATTTGATCTGTGTCCTTTCTCTGTTCTCATTCATTTTAGAAGTTATGACCCATATCTCTATAATAAAAAACTCAGAGTTTCATTCTAGGCAACCCTGCTCCCTGCCAACAATTCTTGTATCCTATCTGTACAGAAACAGGTGTCTACTACTTACCCTCACATTCCTATCAATGGTCCCACTTCCTAAAAGAAAGAGGATACTTCAGCTAACAGACCTTCCCTTTGCATAGGATGAGGTTCTGCCCTCCCAAACTGGACTCATTTATTCTAAATAATATGGGAGTGAAATATGGCCAGAACCAGGAATATTAAGGAAAATCATTCTTGGAAGGTGAGAGGTTGGAGCAAGTATTTGGGTTGCTCAGATCTTGAAACTCTGAGAATGAGAAGCCAACTGTATACTCTGCACGTCCCTGCGTTTCTTTTGCCCTCTATTCTCCCTCTGGAGCTTCTTCTCCATCTTCAGTTCTTGGCCCTATCAACACCATTCCTGGATTGAACATTTACCTGGAACTAATGGGACATCCAGAGACTCAGGCTAAATCTGAGGACTTTTAGTGGGAAAAACTTCTTCCAAATGGTATAAAGCAAGAACACTTAAGTGCCTGAAGGGCATCTCATTCTCCAGCAGATTTGACTCCTTTGAAGAGAGTCCTGGTTAAAGGTCTCCAACCAGTATCTTCTCTCTGAGTTGAAGCTTTAGGTCTGTAATTTTCCTTCACCATTGCTAGTCTGCAGACCATAGATGGCTGTCAATAAGTCAACATTCCCCATGGCCACTGGTTATACACACACACCACAAAGGCAAGAGTCTAAATTGACATACCACTTTTCCTAAAGGGTACTAATTAAGTGATTTGCCTGCAAACTTCTCTTTGCTAATACAGAAAAGTAAACAGCTTCCAGAATATCTACATATATAAAAGGCTAAGCGACCAGTCGACTGGTCACTATGACATGCACTGACCACCAGGGGGCAGACACTCAATGCAGGAGCTGCCCCCTAGTGTTCAGTGCACTCCCACAGCTGGCCAACCTCCCGTGGTCCCTCCCCCACACTGGCTGTGGTTCCTCCCTCAGTTCCTCCCCCTCAGCCAGCAGGCCCCAATAGGCTGTGATTTCCGGCCAGGCCGAGGGACCCCACCCATGCATGAATTCATGCACCGGACCTCTAGTAGAATGACAAAATGCCATCTGTAAGAGACAAGTATCAAAATGGTATCAGTTAATCTCTTCAAAATATTATATTTGTTCTCATGTAGCCTTGCTCTTACTTTAACAAGAAGAAATCCTTCTGGAACTGTTAAATATATTTCTAGTAAAAAATAGTGTTTTAGTGAAGAGTTTTATAGGTATCTGTTACTAATCACATTTCCCAAGCAATTTTTATTCACCAATGAACAAAGTCACTTTGATAACCATTTGTTATTATCAGCCATTGAAATGGGCAATACTTTTTATTCTCATTTAACATAAGTAAACAAAGAGGCGAAATGACTGAATTAGTCACTTGGTGATGTGGTGAAGGAATTGAAATTTGAATTCTTAGTCTCTTCCAGTTTCCCAGACCCTAGAGCTAAGCGGCTGGTTTTGCAATAAGGAAGCCTATTTATATGACTTTCCATGGGACCAGGAAGTCAAAACCACAACAGGGTAAAAGCAGGAAAACGTCGCCTTTCTGGCAGGGAATTTCAAAGGCGGCAGCATTAACCGATGTCAGAGCATTTTGCTACATTGTGGGGGCTGCCCTGGACAAGCATGACTACAAAGTGCTTGAGTAAGAGAGCATATTCTTTGAGAAAACTGGTAACTTCCTTGTATTTAAAAAATTAAAATAATCAAGCTCTGTGCTTACAAGAATCCAAAGAAAGAGCTTTCATTTTGAACCCTATGACCACTTCTTCCTTCCATAGCAAAATCTCAATTTAGTCCAAAAATAAATTGTCAACAAGTACTAGAACTTATCCAAAACAACTATCCTCCCTCCTTTCCCATAAAAGTGATAGAAATATATATATACTGATGTCATCACCGATCTCCAAATTCTACAGACCTTTAACATGCAGGAAGTTGAGAATGCTTGTGTTGGTGTCTAGCAGGAGCAGTTGGCCATTCTCCACCGTGACGTTGTCGCCATCTTGTGGCACCCGTTCAGGAAACCAGCTGTAAGCCCTTGACCACCTCCGGCAGAAACGAAAGGAAACATTGCCCTGGAAAACAGAGTTTTGTTGTTCTGTTTTGTTTTAAAGCTGGATAGAATGAGTGAGCAATCAAAACATAAACTCCTTACACTAAACTTAATATAAATATAATTTTAAAAGTCTCACTAAACTTAGCCACCCTCTCTTTTGCATACAACTAAATCAAAAAGGGGCAAAGTTATCCTTAAAGCCCCTTTGTGCCCGGTCACTGGAATTCTCCAATGACAGGCTTGTAATGTTTTCCTCACCTTTTTTTGCTAGCATAAGCCCCCTTCTACCTAACAGATGGGGTAAATTCTACTTTTTATTTTTACAGACAACATATTGAGTCTTGGACAAAAAAGTCGCAAATAGCCTGAAATACAGAGAATTAAAATGTTCTGCATGATGGGTGGCATTTTGCTTTATGTAATTGGTATCATTTTTCACTGGCTGTACTGCAAGTGCCTTTTTTATAGGAACATTCTTCTTTCTAAGTGCTCAGATCCATCCTCCCACATTCTACCTGTTCTGGTATTACTGTGTTGTTGCCTTTCCCTCAGTGCTTGGTGCATCGGTGCTGAAAAAGCCCAGACACAGATGAAATGCCAACCGACCTCAGATGATAGCCCAGAACCTTTGAGTGAGGGGCAGGGAGCAAGACATGGAAGAGCCCAGAGGAGGAGGCACCCCTTCCCCATCCAGCCTTTAGGCTCCCTCTCAAAACTTTGGGCTTTCCTATTTATGATCACACTGAAATCATATGTTTTTTTCAAAAGAAAGGTGTTAAAATCACAGAAAGCAATATTTGGCTCATGCGAGAGGCCAAGAATATGTCTAAATGTCTTGTGCAGTTATGGAACCATAATGATGATAAATATAATGAAATCAGAATGGAGAGGGTGATCCCCTCAAGGTAATACACACAACATGTGTATGCCTCTCTCCACACAGTCCTTCTTCCCACATGGATTCCAACCAAATGTGAAGCCTGAGTTCCTATAAAATAACTGCCTAGAAGGTCCTCTCATGAGGTGTTAAAGGCAGATGGGAGAAGATCATTAAGAAGGGGAGGCATGTTTATAATACCAATAACTACACCTACACAGCAAATAGTGCCCTGGAGTGTTTCTGAGAGAGAAAAATAGAAAAATGTGTTGCCAAGAAAACCAGTAGATTTTCCAGGAGTGTGTACTAATACCCAGCTCAATAGTCACAAGTTGTATGCTCAACCCAATCCCCAGTAAGGCTTTGAAATAAGGAAAAGCAGGATCTTTTCATTTTCTATACCTGCAAAGGAGAAAACAAATCAGTGAGTCATCCCAATGTAAGAGAGAAAGTCTTAGGGGGTCAAAGGAAGACCATTCCTTCGGTATCTTCCATTCATTAGTTTGGGAACATTTTGTGACTTAGAATTAGCACTGCCTGCCAAAGCTCTAAGCGAATTTTAAAGACTTTCTCTCTTACTCTGAAACATGTGTATGTATCATTTGCTGCCTTCCTTGTGTTATACCATCTTGGCTTGTCCTGTCAATCTTTTTTTTTTTTAATATATTTTATTGATTTTTTACAGAGAGGAAGGGAGAGGGGTAGAGAGTCAGAAACATAGATTAGATAGAAACATCGATCAGCTGCCTCTTGCACACCTCCTACTGGGGATGTGCCCGCAACCAAGGTACATGCCCTTGACTGTAATCAAACCTGGGACCCTTCAGTCCGCAGGCAGATGCTCTATCCACTGAGCCAAACCGGTTAGGGCTGTCCTGTCAATCTTCAAACATTGCTATACTCAGCCCCAACCCAGCAGAAAGAAAGGTCGAATATTGTTATGTCTTCTTTACAATTGAGAAAGCAAAGGATCAAAGAGCTTAATTTCTGTGTCAAGAGCCACTGGGGTAGAAACAGACTGGATCATGCAGAGCGAGCTTTTCACTCATGGTGGCCTCTCTGGAACACTCTTCCACAAAGTATCCTCATGGCTCACTCTCTTACTTTACTCAGGTCTCTGCTCAAATAACACATCTTTCCCTGTCTCCTTATTAAAATAATACCTCTAATCACTCCTTCTCCCTTAATACTTTCATCCAGGTATTGTATCATAGAATTCCTTATGTATTAACATATATTGAGCTTACTCAAGTAAATAGCAGGTGCTTTGTTTGTTCTGGTCAATGTTATATTCCTAATCACCTAAAAAGTGTCAGGCACATAATAAGTGCACAATAAAAATCAGTTATATAATTTCTTAAATGAATAATCTACCTGTTAACTCCATGTACACATTTATGGATATTACATACGACATATGCCTAAGCACTTTCCCGATACAATAAATAGACAAACAGGTGATAAGGCCTATACTATTTAAAAGTGCTATATCCCCTAGATCTCCTGATTTGTTGGATTTAGCCCACATTCCTTTCTGTTTTCAAACTCTATTTAAATTTAAACCAAATGATGATTGTATCTAAATTAAGCCCAAGATTTAGATTCAGTTTCCCTATGAAATCTTCTACCAATTTTTTCCACCTTAACTTTCTCTATTCAGTGTGGTAGATGCCAAAAGAATACACATATCAAGCATTAAGTTTCAAAAGACCCAAGCTTTCCTGTGCCCAAACTTCTCCTTAGAATAATAAAGGTATCCTGAAATGTATACATTTTTATTGATGATTCATGCTTTAGTACATGATTGATTAAATACAAAAAGTCCTAGAAAATTCATGCAACTATCTAACAGCTACCTGGGGAAGTAGAAGAGCAATGTATCTCCATTACTGCAAGTTGTCAGTGAATCCATGAATGCAAGTATGTGCCATAAGAATTATTTTTAAATATATTTTTTATTGAGAGAGAGAGAAAAACATCGATGTGAAATAGAAACATGGATCAGCTGCCTCCTGCATGCTCCCTACTGGGGATTGAGCACACAACGTGGCCATGTGCCCTGACCAAGAACCAAACCAGCGACATTCAACCAACTAAGCCACACCGGCTTGGGCTGTGCCATAAGAATTTTATCTCTGCTACAATTTCAGAGTTGACACACTTGATAGTATCATTGCTTACACAGGGCAATGCCCCATGAAAACAATGGGGATGGCTCACTTTCCAACATCTTTATCCTCCAATCACTATCACTTTGATCCAAGCAAAGAAGAGTGACAGTACTGATAAAAGATATCTTGTCAATATATTTAAAAGTCTCTGAGCAGATATCAATATGATGTGAAAGCCATGCTCTGTGTCATCAGCCCAGCTTATAGGTCAATGTAGGTGTCACTTTCACCAAAAATGCTTTAAGCTCTTTCCATGCTAGCTCTCAAGGTGCTCAGTCTTTAGCTTTAGTTCCCTTCTTTGAGATAAATGAATCACTCACTACCATTCTGCAGGTGAAGAAAATCATGTCCCCATGGGCATAAGGAGGTGGGTGGGGAAATAGAGATTTAAGAATTATCCAGAACATGCCCTCACCTTTACCTCAGTATATGCAGCCCAAAAAAAACCAGACAAGAAAACATTAGCAAACACTTCCCTGCCTCGGCTAGGAAGCTTATGCAATTTGTTTTCTTCTTACAGCATGTCAGCACTTCTCTGAACTTTAGGGAATGTGCAGCGTCTGCAAATCTCACATGTCACCTTAAATGTATTAGCAACACCACCAGAGTTATCTTGAAAGAAGTCATTGATCAGCAAGTTGCAACAACCAGGCAAAGCAAAGACCTTTTTGTGAGCGCATGTGTTAAGCTGGGGTGATGGAGGAGGGAGATGGTGGCAATCTCTCTAGTCATAGGGTCTCCCGATGACAAAGACAAGGAAGAAGTGTTTTCACACCTCACCAGAATGTCTTCTTCAGCATGAAAGCCTTGGAAATAGGAAAAGACAGGTCCCTGTAACCAACGTTCTCTACACTCCTTACCCTACTCTGTTTCCTCCAAAGCACTTATCATCACTGAAACATGGTATACAGTTATTTATTTATAGTCAGTCAACCCCCAATAGAATGAGAGTTTCATGAGAGCTTCTTGGTTCTCTCTGGTATTCACAGTACACACAACAAGGCCTGGTGTACAACGGCTACCCCAAAAGCACGTTTGAGTGAATGAATAGTCAACTCTTACTTGGGCTCATAGTTACTATGCCATAATTTAAAATATAATTTTAATAACTAAAATAACTTGATATGAAGCTGAAATTTGTTTTTTAACCTTTTCAGTGCTCTTCTACATAGAAATGTTTTAATTTTTATAAAAGCAAACATATTTATCTTTTCTTTTGTGGCATCCTCTATTATTTTATGCATATGATACCCTTTTTTCATTCATATATAAACATCATTTCTTGATTTGTAGATTTTATGTTTGCATGTTAATCCTCACCTAATTAAGAATTTATGTTGGTGGGAAGTTTTCCATTTTTGTTTTTAGCTTTTGCTCTTTTCCCCCAAATAGTTAACTGTTGACTGTTGTCACACCATTTATTATTAAATAACATTTGCTCTCCCAACTAAAACCTGTTATATCTAAACTAATATAAAGACATCTCTCTCTCTCTCTCTCTCTCTCTCTCTCTCTCTCTCTCTCTCTCTCTCTCGATACATGTGATTTCAGCTTTGTTCTTGAGGTGTTCGTATTATTGTGAAAAAGACAAATATCCAGATAATTAGTATAAAGTGTGATTAATTCAACAATTAAAGGCAAAACCAAGGCGCTATGGGAGTTCAGAAGTTTGGATGGCTGACCCTGGTGGAGACTGCCTTACAGGTGAAATCCAGTGTATTGATCACCTGGTCTTTTTTTAATCTGGACACTACAGATAAATTAGCACAGGCTGAGATTATTTCACTTGATTAAAAAACAAAAAAAATATATGCTCATTGTAGAAAAGTCAAACATCTACAAATCCAAGATTACAAATAGAGCCCCTGACCTATAATCTAATAACTCTTTAGGGAACAAAAAGGAAATTCAATTACTTTGGCATAATTTGTTCCTACTGAGCTCATGCGGGCTCTAAGTGATCACTTTCTT